TGAATATCGGTGATGAATTCCTCGAAGCTGTCCTGTCGCCTTTGCGAATTCTCCACAACATGGAAAATTCATCACAAAGTTAGTGTGTGTTTTTTTTTTTTTAATTTCATTATCAAAAGTACTGCATTGCTGAAGAACAACGACACTGTGATAATTTTAGTTGAACAAAATAAGTATCACTATTGTCCACAGCCAAAATAGCGCCTCTTTATCACTTTTTATAAGTAGTAGTAGTTGTTGTTGTAGTAGCAGTAGCCGCAGTTCACATGGATATCTACCAAAAACCGGCAAAATTTGGAGGGAGGGGTAAATTACCCTACAACAAAATAGCACTAGATTGTATTGGCCGGCGTTTGCAGTCCTCTGGATGAGCTGTTTATAGTGTGAATTGATATGATCCTCATAGGGCCTCCTACGCCCCTACTGCCCTTCCTATTTTATAGCATGTTCGGAGATGATACACAAATTCAAAATCTCCAGTTCCTAGATCTTTAGGGAACCGAAGTTTTTCTTGACATAGATTTCGATTATGCGAACACTTTTTTTTTTTTTTTTGATTTTTGGTACCTATATATTTCCTAGACTGAAATGATCATGGGTAAAACAGGCTTTTTTTTGGAAATGCTTGATTGTCCTGTTACCAGGTCTAAGTTTCCAATCTGAATTTTTCCTGAAAATGTTTTGCCTGGACTGTATTTGCCTGAGCACCTTTTTTCCCGATAAAAGGATGTGTTTAAATGCTAGCATCGTGCCACTATCAAACCGCATTGAGGTACCCTGGCTTAAGGGGAACTTTGGTGTTCAGTATTTGGATACCTGAATTTCTAATTCAAAAATTTGATACTCCGTTGCTTATTTTTTTCAGTATTTCCTGCTCTGATCAAGGATATCGAATCGTTTGACAAAAAGCAGTTGTCCAGCAGCAATGTTGATGCCCTGGCAGGTATAAGCAAATATTTTTTTTCCTGCATTTATGTCATAATATTTCAAATTAAAAAAAACTTAAAACCCCGTATTTCATTCTCCCGGAAAAGTGGAAACACGCAGAAATAGCCCGCGAGTGATAACATGTGTCAGCAACATTCTTCCGCCGACAAATTCTCTCAGTGGTTTCCTCTTCCGAGGTTTATTTGAGAAGGAGCTAATAGCAGTTTTTCAATGTCTCTGGTTTTTCTCAGTATCAGGTTTACCATTGATGGAAGTTAACCGAGAAGAAATCAGGAATCGGAAGATTGTTCGGATTGCCAGCAGACTGATTACCACCAGCCCATGGCAGCATTGGTCAAATGCATTTAAAAAATTTGCCAGGTGTATAGTTGAAGAACCAAATTATCACTTATTAACAGTTGATTTAAGTCTTCAAATAAAAAAGAATAAAAAAAAAATCGCGGGGAGAACTGGCTGTGCCAGTGAATATAATTTTCGAACTTAACACCAGTGCCCAGTTGAATCCTCGATTTTATCGTGAAAAACAATTAAAACAACATTCAGAATAATCGAAAGCTAAACAGCTGCTTTTTTTCGAAGTCAGACTAATCTCAATGGAGATTTTTAAAAAAAATCTGTGACTATCTCTGGAAAAAAAACCCCCGGAAATTTCAGGCTGTGGCCGGTTAAATTTTTGGGACTTTAAGTTGAATTTTTCGTGCTTCGCACCACTCGCTTGATTCAGAGTTTACGGTTCGGCTAGGTTACGGTTTTTTTTGACAATCCTATTTCAACGTTCGTTTTAACCCGCTGACTCCGGCCCCACTTTTTGATTTCTTTAGACCATCCGCTTCGCTGTTTGGTCTTTGAACGGGGGCAATATGTCATTTAAAATATTTGGGTCAGTTTTAATTCCAGTCCTCAATCTATGCAATTAACAAGACTTTTCCAACTGCTCCCACCAAACTTGCTTGTTATTTGGTGATCATCTTGCTGGCAATCTTAAAGATCATTTTCAGATAATATCAACACTTATTGTTCCTTTCAGTGCTAAAAAAACTTTTCAAAATGCAACAAACAAGCAATAATAAGAGAAGAAAATAGAACGGTAGCTAACGAGTACAAGTGGGAAACGGGGAATATTAAGAATAGAGAAATATCTAAATATGATATCTGTCGATGGGCTTCCTGGAAAGCAGTCTGTGTTTCGCCCCTAAGAATAGAATTAGAAGGTAAAATGTAAGGGAACTATATTGATGTGTGAAAATTGTTTTTATGCAAAAAAGTGGGTTTTTTGTCTTTTCAAAAAAATTTTCGTCTTTTCAGCTGCACTGGATTTACAACCAGTGGATGTATGGCGATGCCTAAATTCTCTCATACAGTTACGCGACTATGTAAATAGTAATAAGGTAAGGAACATCAATATAAATAGTAATAAAGTGAGCAGGTTTCTTTTCTTTGAGTTAGTTTATATACCTTTCTCTCCTCCCCTATATACAGGAATGTGGGAGATGGGGAGGAAAAGGGGGGGGGGGGGGGGG